GAAAGAAGCGGCCTGCTACAGACCCCGGCTGAGCTGACTTCACAGGTCTGCCACCCACTGACTTGCACAGGGTTCCCCATGAGGAGAGGCCTGTGCACGCTGACCCCTGGGGGCTGCCCTCTCAGCATCTCTAGAGTTTCTGGACAGGGGCTCTGCATCCTCATCCTGCCCTGGGCAAATCAGGCAGCTGGTTCTGCCCGCCAAGCTCGCCCTAGCCTGCAACCTGGGCCCACCCAGCTCCTTAAGGGTCAGAGCGGCCAGTGGATGCTCCCATCCTCACTCAGGGGACGTTCTCCAGGCCCCTCACCTTGAAGAAGCCAGCATCCTGGTCCTGCCGGAAGTCCTGCTTGCCTGCGTGCTTCCAGGGAATCCGGAACATGGTCTTGGCGTCGTCATCCCAGCGTACCCCTGGGAAGTTCTCACTCTCCACCTGCTCCACCACCCAGTTCCGGAGTTTCCGGGTGCAGCGTGCCTTGCCCGATGCCATCCTAGAGGACGGAGAGTACGGGAGCATCAGCATCAGGGAGACTGTCGGGAACGCCTGTCCATCCAGATCCGGGCCCTTGGGGTCACACTCTTTCAGGCATGCCCAGACCCCTCCACACCCACCCATCTGCTTGTGCCTGTGGACACATCCCCAAACCCTCTAAGGCCGGATGGCTTGCTTTGGTCTCTGCCACCCCCAGCAATGACAAGGACACGAGCCCATCAGTGTCCTGAGTGCCGCTGCGGGAGGAAGTCTCAGGCCCTGGTTTGCTTGGTAAGGCCTTTCAGGACCTTCCCTGCGAGAGACGACGGTTCCCTCCGTGTTCTCATCCTGGTAAAGGCGCAGCCCGCTTGCCCGAGGATTTGCAAAGGCTGGCCCTATCAATGCTCACCACCCACAGCCCCCACAACCTGTGGCACCCTTTTGAGATCCTGAAGGGTTGGTAGGGGCAGCGGGCTGGAAACGGTGAGCAGAGCGGCACCGGAAATGGGCAGGGCCAGATGGCAGGAAAAACAAAACAGTCAACAGAGACTTGGAGCGAAGAGCCCTTGACTCGAAAATTCTGCAGGATGGCCCTCCTGTCCTTTGCCGACAGGGCCTGGAATGCTGACCTGGTCAGTTTCTTAGCACAGGACCGGTCTGCTTCCTGATTCACAGGCCTGCCTAATCTCTGCCTGGCAGAGGTGCCCTGGGGCCTGCCCTCCACCCCACCCCCCCAGCCAACCTCCCTTGGGCTCCCCTAGGACCCAGGCTTGGCCCTCCTCCGCGCTGACCTTACCTGAGCTGACCGTGCAGGCTGCCCTGTGCTCCACAGGCCCGCAGCTCAGCACCGGCAAAGGCGGCTGTGTGCTCTCTCCGCCCCTTCCTACAGTCCCCACCCTAAGTTTCAGTTCTCAGGGAGAAGTCCTTTTCCCAGAAATCACGTGGTCTGAGCTGCAGGGCACCCAGCTGCCACCAGGGGGAAGCAGCACCCGAGGCTCTGGCTGTGGGCGGCGGGTGGTTCTCTTCCCCTGCTCGCTAAGTCAGTTGGGAGTGGGGGTGGGCCTGCGCTGCTCAGCCCGCTTCCTCCCCCAGGCCTTCGCTGCTTGGGGCCTCTGGGCCACGGTGTAGTCTGCAATTGTGTGTCCCCACAGTGCCCACTGGGTAACCCATGAGGTGACGTCAAAAGTCATGTGAATTGAATGAAAATGAAGTGGGGACCCTGCCCCCGGCCTGGGCCAGGCTGGGGCGGGGCAGGGAGACCACCTGGGGCCACCTGCCCTGTGCCAAGTCCTTCCTGAGGCAGTGGGGAGACCTTCCTTCCAGCAGAGCTCTGCTCACCCCCCTTTCCCTGAGCCAGAAGAAGGACCACCAAACAGCCCGGGGAGGAGATGCTGCTTTATTTGGTGCTGGAGCTGTTCCTGAAGGGGCCTGGGACCCTCAGCAGGGCGGGCGCTGCAGCTACTTCCTCCTGCGGGGGATGCTCTGCCCCAAAGGCACCTCTTCTGTCAGTTTCTGCAGAAGCAAAGGGCAAGTGGCACCCCTGGCAGCCTGTGGCAGACACAGGCTGGGGGTTCGGGCAGAGGGCTGAGCCTTTACCTGTAATAGGCGGGCGTGGTAGGCAGGGGCATCCTCGCCAGCTAGCAGCTGAGGGCGCGCATGCAGGTAGCGCTCAGTGGCTGTCTCCAGCTCCCCCACTTCATACAGGGCGGCCGGGTCCAGAGAGTGGGCATTGATGAGGCTCACTAGATACTCCTTGTAGTGTGCTCTAGGGAGATGAGGGGGCAAAGGATTTCTTCATCGCTGGGCTAGTCTTTATGGAGTGTGCCTAACACCTGCTGACCAGTGGGATGCTCAGGTGACAGGTAACAGGCAAGCCGTGCCTGTGGTATGCCTGTATACACCGTAGGCTACTACCATCCACGGCCCTGTCCAGAGAGCCCCTCCAGCTCTCCTCAGGACCTCCTCCCCCACAGCCCCCTCTACTGCTGGGAAGACCCTCACCACTCTTACCCGGCCCTCCTCCCCCAACACCATGCCCCAGACCCTGCCTGGCACTCACTGGCAGAGGCCGGCATGGCCAGCGGGGGTCTCCTTGCCACAAGCTTCGTCCCTCAGCCCATTGGGAACTTCCTTCTGCTCCATCACTCGGCAGCCACCTAAGGTGGAGGCAAAGAGGGGACCTCTTGTTGGAAGGCCAATGATCCCCTAAGCCCCAAATAAGGACACCTCTGGGGACAGGAACCCCATCAGCTTCAGGGAAGTGACTGAGACAAGAACCCAATCAGCTGCAGACCAACTCAGATATGGAAACAGGGACCCCCGATGAATCTGCTTTTATCCAAGCTGGCGTTTGACCCCTAACCACAGACCCTCTTGAGACAGCTCTTTTGATTGTTAGGGAGCCCCTTCTGTCGGTAACTCATTCTGCAAGGGCCTTACTTCTGGCTGATGGGAAGGGAAGAGGTAGGGTGGAGCCTACACAACTCTCTGCAGGCCTCCTAGAGCCTAGAGCAGTGCCCTGCGACTACGGGGGGTGGGGGTGGGGGTGGGGGCCGGACTCTGAGCCACTCATTGAGCTTATTAACAAATCATTCTCACTTGGGAATGGGAGAGGTAATTAGTATTGAGGGCCGCAAGATGCCAAATACCTTACTACCTTGGCGTACAAAACAGCTCAGATGAAAGGGGGCAATTATCCCTATTGTACAGAAGACAACAAGGTCCGGCCCATTAATTAATGAACTTGCCCAGGGGAGCAACACAAGGATGCCAAGGACAAGCTTGGAGCCCAGGCATGGTCCACGTCAAAAGCCCTGCCCCCCTCTCTCCCTGCCCCACTGGAGCCCAGCACACTGGCTCCCCTTCCCCACGGCCTGGTCGGCACTCACCTCCGGGGACTGCCCTGGCCCCAGCTGGAGGCTCGGTATTAAACATGACGTTATTGTCCTGAGAAGGAACAGAGAGACACGTGGGGGCGATGTCCCTTGATACTGGCTCCTGCTGGGCTTCTTAACCTTTTCCCTGAACCCACTCTGGACACTGCCGCCACCTCTCAGGCAATCTGCAAGACTGGCCAGACGGCCGTCCTGACCTGCAGCAGCTTCTGCAGTCGGAGGGCACTCCAGTCCCGCAGGTAGAAGAGGCAGTCTCGGGGGTGGTGGCCATGCAGGGACTTCTTCACTCGGCAGTTCGGCTCTGGGCATTTCTAGAGGATACCGAGGGGCGAGGTTGGAGACCACTCCCAGGTCCTGACCACTCAGGCACCCCTGAGTGAGGAGGACACAGGAGGTCGGGAGCAAGCCGGGGAAAAGGGTACAGAGGAGCTTTCTCTCCTGCCAAGCTGTTCCCCATGGCCTCAGCTCTCAAGCCCAGGGGCAGTCTCCCGCCCCCACCCCACCCCCTTCCATCTCCACTCTGGGCTCACGTTCTTGGCATAGAAGGCGTTGTAGCAGCCACTGCAGAACTGGTGGCGGCATTGGGTGCAGTGAAAGTGCATGCAGCCTCCTCGGGCCAGTGCGTACGAGAACTTGCACTTGGGGCAGTCTGCAAAGGACAGGAGATCAGAGCGGGGACGGCCACTGCTCCGCTAGGTCCTCGAGAGAGCCTCAGGCACTGGGCAGCCTTACCGATTCCATTTTCCTGAAGATACATGGCCAGGCCCTGGGCCTGGTATTCCGGGTCGTTGGTGCGTTTCCAGTTCTGGAATTCCTCGCAGCTCCGGCCTCGGTGCTGCTCCTCCCACTGCAGGAAGGAGAGCAGGGTCCTCGTGGAAGTGCCATCTCAGGCCCAGCCCCTCTTGCCGCAGGCCCTCCACCCACCCCAAGGGATTCCCAGCCTGGCTTAGTGCTCCGGACTCTCTCCTTTTCTCAAACACTCGATGTCCACCTGAGAGTCTGGTGGTTCTACCACCCCCACCGTCTCAATCCTGCCCCCTTTTCTTCCTTCTGCTACCACCTCTCCCCTGGCCATCAGCAGCAGCAAGCCTCGCCTAGATGACAAGCCTCCTGGACTCTACTCCCACTCCTCCACTGCAGCCAGAACAGTCTTTCAGAAGGAGACCAGTAGACTCAGTGTGACCCGGGACATCCCAGCTTTGAGAGCTTGTGATTGGGCTTCCGGTGGTCACTTCACCCGGGGTCCCCCCATGTAGTTGAATTTTTGTAGTTGGGTGTGGAACTGCAAGTCTCTTAAAAGGTAAGTGCGCCGGCATCACCTCCTTGTCCCACCTCAGAAGAGAGCAAACACCTTCCTCAACTGGCTTCAAGGTGTCTGGATGTGGCAGCCAGCAACTCTCAGACCCCCTGCTGCTCCTCCCCCGGCCCCGGAGGCTCCAGCAGCACGCAACACCCATTTTCTGACCTCCCAGGTGCTGTTCTTTCTGTCCAAATACTCTCTGCAGGCTGGCTCTGTCTTAGGCTTCGGGCCTGAGCTTAAATAAAACGATGGCCGTGCAGACTTGTCTGACCTCCCAGCCCTCAGCAGGTCCATTCTGTAAGTGCTGATGGGTTCCTATTGGTTTTCTTTATACAACTTACAAAGCCAGACACCCGCCTCACGGCTACTGTCCAGGACAGCGCAGACCAGTCCCCGTGCGTTTCAGAGGCTGTACCTCTTTACGGGAGTGGAAAGCCCCGTCTTTCTCCCGCATAGAGCCTAGACTTCGGTATAATCATTTTCTCTCTTTCCTTCCCTACCTCCCTCTCTCCCTGTCTTGGCCTCTCTGACTAGTCTGCAGGCTCTGTGAGCTCACAGATCCTTTTCCGTTTTGTTCTCCACTCAGAGCCTTCACACAGTCGCTGCTCGGCAAATACTTCTGAAAGCCCGCCTATGCCCTCACCTGGCGCTTGCAGCGTACACAGAAGGTCTGGTGGCACTGGGGACATGTTGCCTCCAGCTGTTCACGCTCATAGATGAAGCCAAAGGAGCACTGTGGGTACGAGGGCAGAAAGTTATCTGAGGAGGCCCGATCGGATCATCTGCTGACCCTCCCCAGCTGGCGCCCCGGGGCCAGCCACTTACCTGAGCACACCACAAGAACTTGGGGTCCCGCATCAGCACGCCCTCAGTCAGCTTTTTGTGGAAGAGTGCATAGGCATCTGGCTCTAGACTCTCTCGAAGCTGGGGACAGAATGCAGGGGTGGGTGGTGGGTAGGGTTTCCTGCCCAAAGTCCAGAGAGCCCTGAGGCGTCGGGGCTGCAGTACCTGGATGTCAAGGGTGGAGAAGTAGCTGAGCAGTTGTGTGTCATCGGTGAGGTCGGGGCGGCCACAGGCAGGGCACACCATGTCGGTGATGTGCTTCTCCTTCACCGCGATGGTGAAGTGCTGGCGGAAGCAGTCGGGACAGATGGTGCACTCACAGGAAGTTAGGGCCTGCATCTGGAGGGGCGGCGGGAGGAGAGGACGGGGTCATGAGCCACAGATGCCAGGCTGGGCAAGAGCAGCAGCAGGTCTCTACTGAGCCACCAGGCTCTAATAACCGGGCAGAGCGAGCCATCTCAATGGGCGCCAGGCAGGCAATCTAAACAGATGAAGGCAGCCAGGTGGAGGGACAGAGACAGCAGTGGGACTTAGGGGAGCTGGAAGAGTACACGTCCCCTTTCTGCAGCAGGGGTGGGGCACCAGAGAGAGGCCATTCCAGCCATCGCATTCCGGGTGAGGTCACTGAGTATGGGACCAGTATGGCCCACAGAGGCTGTCTGTCACAAATGAGACTGGGCAGGACGAAGGTCCTCCACCCCTGCTCTACAGGCACCCTCATTCAGTGAAAGGCAGCCTTACACAGAACATCTTCGAGATGACCATACCGGAGAGATGGAGTACGGGGAAGGGCTTGCCGGGGAGCAGGGAGTGGAGTGGGTGACAAATAGAATGAAGGGGTAGCAGGTGGGAGTGCCCATGGTGGCAGCGCAGTTCCTCTGCATCCTGATTGTGTGGTGATTACATGAATGTGTGCATGGGCTAAAACTGCACGGCACACGCGCACACACGTAAACAATGGTGAAAACTGAGCAGAATCTGCTATCTAGCTAACACTGCACCCAACGCCAGGCCCTGGTCTTGATGCTGTCCTATGATCACAGGTCACTACCTCGGGACACACGTAAACAATGGTGAAAACTGAGCAGAATCTGCTATCTAGCTAACACTGCACCCAACGCCAGGCCCTGGTCTTGATGCTGTCCTATGATCACAGGTCACTACCTCGGGAAACTGGCTGAAGAACACATGGGCCTCTGCACTGTTTTGGGAACTTCCTGGGAATTGTCTCAAATAAAACGTTAACGGGAACACAGGGCCTGCCTCACTAAAGAGGACTGCATTTGGCCTCACAGCTGAAGATCTGACGCTATGGACGGCTCACAACTAGTCTGGTAGCTTTTGTTTATGAAGTCTGTCTTTTGGAGACACATCCCTGACAGGCTGCCCGGGATGGGCAGGGACCGCGCAGGGGGTTACCCGGTTGCGGGGCAGCATCCAGCCGCACACGGCACACTCCTGGGCCAGCAAGCGGCGCAGGAAGGCCCTGTCGTGGCTGTGCCTCACAGCTTCCACCACGTCCCCCAACTCATAGTTCCTGGGTGTCTCCTGCAGCAGCGACAGCGCCAGCTCGGCCCGGCCCCAGCTGGGGAGTGCGTAGACAGCCAGCAGCCGTCTGACAAGGCTCTGCAATGTGATTTCGGGGGGAAGAGGGAGGGGGCGAGAAGTGGTTTTTCAGACCCCTGGGGTCCACCTCTCACTTGGATGTGGGGGGTGGGGCTCCTTGGGCTCCCCGAATCCTCCCAGCACCTGCTTATCTGAGCCATCCCACGACAGGTTGGGCTCAGGGCCACTATCCCAGAGGCGCTGGTGAAAGGGCTCCAGGCGCTGGCGCTGGAGCTCCGTCAGGGCCCGAGCCACGTCACCGCCATGCTGGAACAATGCCTGCAGAGACCCTTCCTCAGGTCCAAAGCCCAGGGACTGGAGCTCCTGCACCTGCAAATTTGGGAGGGATGCAGAGGGGAAAGCAAGCAAGGAGGATGTCAGAGGGTGCCAGGGCCCCTGCCCTCCCGCCCTGACCCGCCTCCAGCCTGGCTGGTACCTTGCTCCGCCGGGCCCTCACACACTCCTCCACAGCTTCGTCGAGGTTGCCGTGACGATCCAGCCAGGCTTTCCGGGCCTCCTGACAGGAAAAGGCGCCCAGCCCCGGGTCCCACTGTCCAGCCAATTCAGCCACCATCTCCAGAACGTAGGGCAGCTCCGACTGCAACCACTGCAGGGGCACCTCGGTGCCCGAGTACTGCAGAGCCGAGAAGACCTCCTCGGGACTGGCGCCTGCAGCTTCCCCTTCCTAGAACACAGCGCCACCCAGACAAGATCGCCCATCAGCCGGAGCAACCCCCGCCCAAGCCAAAACGCCAACCGTGGCTGGGCTCAGACATGTGGACATAAGGGAATCCTCCCCTGCAAAGCAGCAGTGACAAGTTGGGAAAGAATCTCTTTACTAACGGCAGCCTCTCCCTCTCCCACCAGCTCGGGCCCGGCCTCGTCTCAGGTCCAGGCCAGTCCTTACCCGGATCATTCTCACCAGCTGCAGGCCTTCCTCTCGCATCTTGTCTTGACGCTGCTTCTCCGGATCCCTGCTGGAGCTGGGCAGGGGGGCGCTGAGGTGCTGGAGGGGCCCAGGCTCAGGGGGGGTCTCTTCCAAAGAGCTGGCATGGGGCTGAGGAGTGGGCTGGGCTGGGCTGGGGCTGCTGGTCCGGTTGCACATAGCACACACCCAGCCAGGGCCCGTGTTGCAAAAGGTACAGTGGCTACAGGACCAAACGTGAGTCTGAGGAGAGGAGAGCACAGCTTCTCCCTGATGGGAAGAGAGGCAGAGAGCATCATCCCGTTGAGTGTCAGGCTAAGGCTCAAGATGGAGAAGCAGGGAGCTGGGAGGAGACACATGCTAAGAATGGCCCCAGCTAGTAGGTAAAATAGCGGAAGGTCAGAAACAGGATACCTGAAGGGGCTGCAGGCAAATTCCAGAATCGAGGGAGTCTAAGACCAAGCTGGGAGGCTGGGCCAGCCGAGGTCGCTCACACATGGAGCACAGCACGGCTGCTGCCTCATTCTCAAAGGTGCAGCTCTGGCAGGTCCACTGGCCCGGGGCCAGCTCTGGTTCTGGGCCTCCAGCTCCTTGGGAACCTTCAGCCCTCAGTCCTATCCCTTTACAGCCCCGGGGCCGATCACAGGCCTCACAGAGCACTGCCCAGGGTTTATTTCGCATGGTACAGGCAGCACAGTGCCAGGGCAGGCGGGCACTTGCAGGGTCAGGAGAAGGAAGGGCACTATCTCCAAGGGCCAGCAGAGAGGTTGACTGGGGCCGTGGTAGAGCAGGAGCAGGTAAGCTATAATGGAAAAGCAAACATGGCCTGCTGAGCTGGGACACACACACACACACACACACACACACACACACACCCCACCATCCCCTGTGGAATGACACTCAACTCTGGCTTCAGACACATTGTCCCCTCTGCCCGGAACACCTCCACACCCACGGCCTGTTCAGTGTGTAAGTGACGGCATCAGCCTCACTTCTTCCTGGTAGCTATCCTTCTATAAGCTTGCCCCATCCTAGTTACACACGAAACCGATGACTGATCTCGGGCACCCTGCAAACTAGGTGCATCCTCCCACTCCCTATTTGCATACAGAATAACCTGCTCTTTGCTTGATGTATGTACCTATAGCCACTGTGAGGACAGCCACGGGCTGCTGGTCCTCTAGACTGCAACAGGGTAGTCAGGTGACCTTAACTTCCCTCAATTTCACTCCCACCTAGAAGAAAGGGCCTTTCTCACCTGGGGATGAGGTTTGTGGTCTGAGAAGTCCCAGGCAGCATCTGGCGGAGGTGATGGGCACGGGATGGGTGCCCATGGAAGAGATAGTCGCAGGCTGAGCACAAGGCCTGTTTACAGGCTGGGCAGTGCATTGTGCCCGGGGCAGAACCACAGAGGAAGCAGGGACCAGGAGTGGAGCCTGGAGTACAGGAGAGAATGGGCTTCTAAAAAAGGCCAGCTTAAGGGTAAACCTGCTCTGAGAAGGGAGGCAAATGACGAGGCTACTTTTCAATGTGTCAGGATCCACTTGATCTTTTTAAAGGAACAAAGAGGTGACCGGGAAAGATGACCAAAAACAAACCAAATCCACAGCCATGGAGTCAAAGCCCACTCCCGGCTACCCTACAGGACAGGGTAGAACTGCCTCTGGATTTCTGAGGCCGTAGTTAAAGCCCCATTAGTTTCCTATGGAGCAGACTGGTGGTTTTAAACTGCTGCCTTTATGGATCACAGCCCAATGCCTACCCCCTATGCAACCAGATCACAGCCCAATGCCTACCCACTATGCAACCCTAAGAAAGATGCAGGGGAGCCCCAAATGTCCATCACTGGAAATCTGAGGGGTAGATCACCTCCCCTCCTCCCTCGACCCCATTAAGGTCGAGACCTTGGGCTGAGGGTGTGTTGAGGGCTCCAGGAGCGACATCACTCAGGATGGGGGTGAACGCCGCTGAAAGCTGGGGCATCTGAGGAGAGAGGGGGGCCAAGAATGGGCAAGGGTTTGGAACAGAGTCCCACACCCCCTACCTGCTTCCTCCCTTCCTTACATCATCTTCGACCTTGCTGTTCAGCAGCTGCTCCAGTGCCTGCTGCTGTGGGTGCATATTCTGCAAATAAGACAGGTAAGTGTTCCCACCTGGCACCCCTGCACAAAGCCTTCCCTCTGCCCAAGTCCAAGTCCTCAACACTGACAGAGGGGAAGAAGGGTACGGTAGGGGGGCTCCCAGGTTGCTGTGGGGCACATGCCCATGGTTCAGCATCAGTGGGAGGTGGTAGAGGCGGTGTGTCCCCCGGGCTGACCTGGAGTTTAAAGCTGGCTCCCAGCCCGCGGGGAGGGGGGTGGCATCAGGAGGAGGGGCCAACCTCACCTCCAACAGCAGGTTGAGCTCCGTCCGAAGCAGCAGCACTTCCAGTGTGACTGTGGCGACCTGGCGCTCATCTGGCTCCTCCTGGCCCTCCGGGAAGCTCAGCCCATCCTGCTGCTCCTCCGTGTAGCCGTACAACCGCAGCACATCCCGGCCCCCCTGTCGCACATTCACGGCCACTCACCACCCGGCAGGCTCCCGCTCCCCAGAGGGCTGGACCGCCTCTCATTCGGCAGTCTCCGCCGGGTCCGGGCCCCATCTCCCGCCAGGCCCAGGGGCTTCACCTGCACAGCATCCACCGTACTGCGAAAGACTGGGTTATTAAACTTGACCCCGCGCCAGTAGCGGGGCCGCTGCGGGCTGAGGAGGTTGCGGCCGTATTTCTCTAGGATGTTCAGGGCCGTGGACAGGCTGCTGAGGTAGTTGCGGGGCTGGAAGAAGCAGCGCAGAGAGGCGAGCAGTGAGCCGGGTCCCGGGTCCCGGGTCCCGGGTCCCGGGTCCTCCTCCCGAGCCGGGCTGGGCCTTACCTCCCTGTGGGCGTTGCCGCGGACCAGGCGGGCAGCGTCTAGCTGCAGGTAGCGGGCGGCGAGGGGCCGAGACGTGGTCAGTAGCGGCCGGAGCTGCTCGGGCGAGAACGTCTGCGCGGAATCCCTCCTCAGGGCACCGGCCAGTTCCTCGCGCGCCTCCAGGAAGGCCCGCTCCTCGTCCTCGCCCGGCATCCTGAGGCAGGGAGGCCCAGTGCCCGCCGGCCGAGCGTCGCCCTCCCGCCTGCGGCCCGGCTTTGCAGCCTGTTCGGATCCGCGCGGGGACTCCGGGTCATGGAGGTTACGGTCTCTCCACAGCCCCGGGTCCCATGCCCAGGGTTAGCCGGGAACAGGAAGTACTAGGAAAGAGGGTGGGACTGCGACCAGGTCTCAAGGGGAAGGGGAGGAGCTTTGGAGAAAGGGGTGTGTCCAAAGCTCAGGGGGCGTGACCAAGACAAGCGGCAAGGTCCCGACCAATGAGAAGGGGAAATGCACTCTGGCCCCTCCCCCAGGGCGTCTCCTTTTTTTTTTTTTTTTTTAAAGGTCCTTTTCAAGAGCTTTCCTTCTGCCTTCTTCCAGGCTGGTTCCGCCTCTTCCCGGACAGCCGTGGTGCAGGGTTAGCCCCCTCCCTCAACTCCCTCCGGTCTCACGCTCTCCTTCTCTGACTTTTCACACCCGCGCCCCCACTGGGGAAGGCCCACCCGGCTAAGCGCCCCGACTCCGGCCGGTCCCAACCGGCGGGAGCGAGCCCCGCCCTTCTGGTGATCCCGAAGGCTGGGTTTTCCTGGGGGAAGCCCTCTCTTCGCCGGCTCCCGCCGCTATCGCTATAACCCTCCCCCCGATCGCCCTTCTTACTTGCTCCGGCCTGTCTCCGGTCTCCTCCCGGGCTCGATCCTTCTTCGGGGAGCCCCACCCCACCCCCGGACAGCTCTTTTCCCTCGTGCTTCCTCCTTTCTGGTCCCAACCCCGTAACTCCCCGGGACGGCCCTGGCTCCACGCTGCGAACCCCGCCCCTCTGGGGGGACAGCCCCGTCCCGGCCTCCGCTGGCTCCCAAGCCCTAGCCCCTCCCCCGAACAGCCCCCGGGTGGCTGAGCCCTGTCCGCCCTATCGGAGCAGCGATGGCTGCGGCGCTCTCCAGCCTGCCGCCTGCTTGGGGGCGGGGGCAGAAGGGGGACACGAAGGGGGCGGGGCTGAAGGGGGCGGGCCTGGACCAGGGGAGTGAAAGCGAAAGCCCTGGCGGTGGTGAGTCGGAAGATTGAAGACCTCGCAACTGTTAAAGAGCATGGCCAGGCTTTGTGGGGTGCGCCTGAGCGGGGACGCCCGCAAACAGGTAATGGGGGACCAGGGAGGCCACCTGCATGGAGGCAAAGTTGGGTGCTCCCGGGAACCAAGGCCATGCCCGAGAACTCCCCTACCCCAGACTTCATGCTTTCCGCTTCTGTCTGGGGATTCCCGGATTCCTGCCCTTTGGCCAGGCTCCACTAAGCCAAGGGGTCCCAGGAAACAACTGGCAGGCGCTGGTGGGAAAGGCCAAGGTCTCAGCTGGAGGGCATCCCCGTATGGTGGGCAGCAGCTGAGACCCTTAACCAACATCCGGGCTCTGCTCTCTGTGTAGGTAGATGTCTTCAGGCAAAATCTCTTCCAGGAGGTAAGTCTCTTTGGACTTAGGTGATTTCACTCCGAAACTCAGACCAGCCCTTGAGGAAAACTCACCCTCCACCTGGACCCTGCTTCCCTTATAAAGCCATCACCCAGCTGAGCTCCTAATCGTGAACCTCTGCCTTTCATTTCATCTCACCCCTCTCCTCCAGCCATTTTGTCACCCCTCCTGGGTGTAGACTGAAAATCATGATTTCCCAGCAGAAGTACCATAGTCTTCACCTCGGCTCTGCCACTGGCCAGCATGGGCAAGTCCCTTAACGTTTCAGGGCTCCATTTCCTCATTTGTCCGGACTGGAGCTCAATGATTTCCAAGGGCCCTTCCAGCCCTGCGTCTCAGTCTCACCGAGCAGGCTAGCGAGCAAGGGAGCAGCTTCTGGGATTCCCCACCTTTGCCATGTAACCCACAGGCCGAGGAATTCCTCTGCACATTCTTGCCACAGAAGATCACGTTCCTGAATCAGCTGCTGAAAGTGAGTGGCGTGGGTCCTTCCTCTTTCATCCCCTGGCCTCGCTTCCCCACAGTAGCTAATGACCGGTCAGCAGCCAGACAACAGCTATGAGAGGTGGACGGAAGCCTCAGGATGGTGTGAGGCCTGAGCCTGGCCGGGGAGGGGAGGGTGGGTGGAACGAGTGGAGGGAAGGCTGTCACTTAGGGAGGACACTGGCCAGCCCCTGACGATGAGCTCTGTTTAGGAGGACTCCTTCAATGTGACTGACCCGGCTTCCATTCGGGCTCCACTGGACATCCCTATCCCAGACCCCCCACCCAAGGATGATGAGGTGAGGCACCCATGGGGCAGGCCTTGGACTTTAAAACCCAATAAAGATGATGGCCCTCCAGCCTCCCAAGACATTTCTAAAGTGGTTTCCTTCCATTTTGCCTTAGATGGAAACGGATAAGCCAGAGAAGAAAGATGGTAAGGGCGGAAAGGGTGCCCGGGGGAGGGGAAACGGCAAATTGGCAGCTGGCTGAGAAGGGGGTCCTGAATCTCCTCTTTCTCACAGTTCCCAAGTGTGGCTTTCTCCCTGGGAATGAGAAGATTCTGGCCTTGCTTGCCCTAGTGAAGCCGGAAGTCTGGACTCTCAAAGAGAAATGCATTCTGGTAAGTCTGGGAACTGGGGAGGAGAAAAGTGGAGTTAAGGAAAGTTGGGCCCTTGCCTTCTTCAGAGACACAGCCCTTTATCCAGGGGCCTAGTTCTCAAACTGGGAACTGGCTTCTGTGACTTGGATTTAGATGACCTGTAGTCCCTTCCTCCTTCTGCTAGACCCTGGGTATCATAATGGTGCCCTGATGGCAGAGACTCCATGCTATGTCCGCCTCTAATATCAGAACCCACTGTTGCACCGGGTGCACAGTGGAGGGGGGATGATAGAGTGAGGGGCTGAAGCACATGGACCTTAGAGGAAGACTGTATGGCTTCAAATCCTGATTCTCATCACTTACCTAAGTGGTTATCTAGAATAAGGCCCTTGGACTCTCTGTGGCTCACTTTTCTAATGTGTTAAGTGAGTATCGTGAATATAAAAGGCCTCGAATGGTTTCGGTGAGGATTACGGGACACAATGTCTTGCAGAGTGGGTGGCACATAGCAAGTGGTCCATTCCCTGCAGTTGTCATTGGAAAGGAGCAGTATGTGTATTGAATGGTTCCTACACAATAACCTCTTAACACAGGTAATCACATGGATCCAGCATCTGATTCCCAAGATTGAGGACGGCAATGACTTTGGGGTGGCCATCCAGGTGAGTGGGGAATGAGAGGTAGGACCTGGCTTGAGTTTAGGGGGCGTAGTTGGTGAAGGAACGAGGAAACGAGGTTTTTTTCTTTGCCTCATTTGGGCTTTTGTCCCTGCAGGAGAAAGTGCTGGAGAGGGTGACTGCTGTCAAGACCAAAGTGGAAACCTTCCAGACAACCATTTCCAAGTGAGAACAGCTGGGCACTGCAGGCAGATTTCTTGGGGAGTCATAAGGCTGGCCAGTCCCATCAGGACAGTGGAGGACTTTAGGGAGGGGCTGAGGGAGGCCACCTCCCTGAACACCCATACCTAAGGCTCCTTCCCTTGTTCCGGCAGGTACTTCTCAGAACGTGGGGATGCCGTCGCCAAGGCCTCCAAGGATACCCATGTGGTGAGTAGACGGTCCGTTAGTAATCTGGTTGGAGGGGAGAAGGAAAGGAGGCCGTCTTCTCTGGGACCTTCCCAGTACAGAAAACATCAAGCCCACAGCGTTCTCTAGGAACCATGTGGACTTTGAAAGCCTTGACCCTTTTCTCTGCTTGATCCTGTGAGATCCTATTTCTTGGTGCCGAGAAGGGATTCATCCAGTTACCTAATTTCCTATACGAGGAAACCAAACTAATGTCCTAACCTCCTCTGAGAGGGCGGACTCAACTTTGCCTCCCACATCCCAGATGGACTACCGGGCCCTGGTGCATGAGCGAGATGAGGCAGCCTACAGGGAGCTCTCTGCCATGGTGCTGAACCTGAGGACCTTCTATGTGAGTGTGGAATAAGCCCCTAAGGGAGGCGGGTGAGGTGGGCAAGGGCGAAAGACAAGAAGCTAACTGCTGTCCCTCTGGTTTTCTCCCCAGGCTGAACTTTATCATATCATTAGCAGCAACATGGAGAAAATTACCAATCCCAAAGGTGAAGAGAAGCCATCTATGTACTGAGCCCAGGGCTAGAAGGGAATAAACGACCTATACTCTGGATGGGTTACTTCTGGTGTGTGTCATTCATTTACAAAGCACCTACTAAGTGTCACCTCTGTCTAAACACTGTATGCAGGAGTGATAGAGGGAACAGAGTACCAGGAAGATAAACATGATCTAAATGTCCATCCTAAAGAACAGGGCAGACCTGTTATATGCCATGACCAAACCAAAACCAAAACAAAAAATCGCTGCCATTGAGTCATTTCCAACTCTGGATAGAGTTCCCAAGGCTGTAACTCTTTATGGGAGCAGAAGTTCATCTTTCTTCCAAGGAGTGGCTGGTGGGTTCAGACTGCCGACCTTGGGACTGGTCAGCAGCACTCCGAGGAACCCACTGTACCACCAGGGCTCCTTTTTCGAGCTCTTAGAGGGGTGCATTGTGGGAAAGGAAAGAGCACCCCAGACACTAGAGGACGTATGGGCCACGAGGAGCTCTCTGATGCCCGTTGTCCCTTCGTTAGCCAATTGCTGATTTATTTCCACCTTTCAGGATTCAAGCCTGTTCAGAAGGTAGAGGCAAAGATTCCCCCACTGTGGTCTTTGCCAGAAACTTCATGGGATTGTTTGGTAATTCAGGGCCTTGTCTCATTAAATATGGGTCGAGAACGTTGCATCAGACTCAGCAGTTTAGAAACCTGCTTCTAATGATGACCTTATTTCATTCTTAAGCACCACGGGCAACAGATACTGCTTTAAAGAAACCTAGGGCCAGATACGCCATACTCGTGAAGGTAACAGCCTATAAGCAAGTCAGGCTGGGACACAGATCGGTTCATTTCTTAACAGGCGCAGCGAGGCCTGCTAAGTCTGCCCGTCTAAGTACTGCTCGGGACACGTTGGGCAGGCCCCTTGACATGGTTGGCTCTGCAGGGCAGCACAGGTATGTGCAGCAGTATGAAACATTGCCCGGGTAACCATCCTCGCAGTCTGTGCAGCCATTGCCAATCCATCTCATTAGGGTCTTCCTCCTTTCCCCGACACTGTCAAGCACGTGCTAGGGGTTAGTTCCTCCTGGTAGCAGGTTCAAAGTACTGACACATCTCACCACCAGGCTTCTAAAGGCGCCCTCTGAGTGTACTTCCTCCGAGACAAATTTGTTCTGGTCGCCGAGCCAATAAGCGTGCGGACAATTCCTAGTTTACAACTGTGAACTCTTTCAGTTGGATGGAAACAGAGGCCGCTGATTGGATGGAAGGAGAACCTCTAGACCTATCAATGAGTATCCTATGGGCGGGACTCCAGAAGTGGGTCCGCTTGGAGCAGCTGGCGCTGGGGGCCGCCGGAGACTGGCATCCGCGCCCGCCTGCTGGGGACAGGGGGCGGGGGGAGGAGGCGGAGCTCAGAATTGTGGGGTGCAATCGGGACTTCCTTCTAGGCCGGGGCGGGCACCTGTGCTGAGTCAGCGTCACAGCCGAACTTAAGTGAGAGGGAACGTAGGTGAGGGTGTCAGTAGTCCAGGAGGGCATGGGGTGCTGCATGGATGGGTCCTGGGGGTTGGGCTGCTCAGGGAGGGGACCAGCACCAACTGGGCTTGTTTTGCACCTGGGCAGGTCCCGCTTGCCATGGGAGAGGTGGAGATCTCAGCTCGGGCCTACGTGAAAATGTGTCTGCATGCCGCCCGGTACCCCCACGCTGCTGTCAACGGGCTGTTGCTGGCACCAGCGTCGCGATCTGGTGAATGCCTGTGCCTCACGGACTGCGTACCCCTATTCCACAGTCACCTAGCCCTGTCAGTCATGCTGGAGGTCGCCCTCAACCAGGTGCTCCTGCTGGACCCCCACTGAGCATCGCGAGTGCCCCTAGCCTATGCCCATCCCCAGCCCTTTGGCGATCCTCTTATCCATTTCGTTCCTGACGGCCACTTTCCCATGGCAGGTGGATGTGTGGAGCGCCCAGGGCGGTCTAGTGGTGGCTGGGTATTACCATGCCAATGCAGTTCTGGATGACCAGAGGTGAGTGGGGTAGCCCCCAAACCACAAGGCAGAGGGTTATGGGGTGGAGGTCAGGAGACCCAAGGTCACTCCTGCCATCCCTCCTTCATCTAACACTAAGAAGCGGGGTCTGTCCATTTGCCCTATGCCCCTACTGGAGGGAAGAAACAGAAGGATTAGTAAGGCAGCGCTGTGCCGGAGGAGCTAGGGCTGGGGAGTGAAAGTGTGTTCTCAGGAAAGACAGGTGATATCCCCAGGACTGAGAGAAGCAGAGGGGAAACCCAACCAACAGCTTAATGAGAAGGAACGCTTATACGTCAAGGGCCTTCAAGACATTGTGGAGAAATGAAAGGAAAAATTATGCAATTTGTTACTGTTTGAAGTATATATATATCTCCAAGGTATGTATCCACATACATGAATCGTTTCAATGGGTCAAATTATACATATGACTCCATTCTTCTGTACCCATAATTCTGTATCCAGAGTTAGAAAATATTGGGGAGATGCAATTAAGGGGCCAAAGCCATCCCTCAAAGATTAAACGAGAGTGTAAGTTGTTTTAGGGATCATAAGTGATCTAGAGACAATGTGTTCAGGGAGAAAGTGGGTGAAGAGAGACAGCAGTTAGTGTAAGACATGAAAAATTATAATTTATAAATTATCAAGGGTTTGAGAGGGAAGAAGGGTGGGGGAGAGAGGGGAAAAATGAGAAGCTGATACCAAGGGCTCAAGTAGAAAGAAAATGTTTTGAGGATGATGATGGCAACAAATATACAAATGTGCTTGACACAATGGATGGATGTATGGATTGTGATAAGAGTTGTACGAGCCCCCAATAAAATGATTTAAAAAAAATAGTATTCAGGGAGTTCTGCTTAGGCTTATGCAAACATGATGGCATTTGAAATAAGGGGTTAGAGCACCCTCAGATTTGGGGATGGTGAGGGTCCTGAAACCAATCCCTCATGGAGGGGTGCCTACTGTTTTGTAACTTGCTCCCACCTCCCTTTAATAAATATCTGGTATTTTCCCATGTCTACACCAAGATCTGCCTTACCTTAATAGCTACAGTAGTAACTATGGCTGTCTAGAGTTTATTACTTTACATTAAACATTGGAGGTGGTTTCCAATCATTTGCTAACACATGCGCTGTCCTACTCCTATAGTAAATTCTGGGTAAGTGGCATTTCTGGGCCAGCACATGTGTAGTATGTGGTTCCAGTATCCACTTTCACCAGCAGCCAATGCCGTCTATTGGCTTCCCATAGCAAGCATCCAAACACCAAGCATTGTGCATTAAGGAGGGGTCACTTCGCACACCTTCTCCCGCAAGCCCAGCTCAGATGGGTGGCTCTTGCTGAGTCAGCTTCTTATCCCTCTGATATTTGCCTCTACACAGTCCTGGGCCCCTGGCCCTGAAAATTGCCGGGCGAATTGCAGAATTCTTCCCTGCTGCAGTACTCATCATGGTAAGCCCAGGGATTCAGGCGGCGAGGGTGAGGGCGGGAGGGAAAATGTGGAGTGAAGTCCCTGCAGCTCTGCCCTCCCCACCCCTGTCTATCGAGCTGGATAATCAGAAACTAGTGCCTCAGCCTCGTGTGCCCCCAGTCATCGTGCTGGAGAACCATGGTCCCCGTTGGACCCCCAAGGACAAGAACTTGTGAGTGCCCCACTCCCTCCTCGGAAGTCCAAGGCTCCTGGGCACCTTCTGTCCTGCCCCAAGGGCCCTTCTATCACAACCTAACCTCTGCCAAGTTCTGTGTTTGTCCCCGATGCCCACCATTTGACTTCCATGGGGGCTCTGATTACAGGGTGATGTGGAGGGACTGGGAAGAATCTCGGCAGACAGTAGGCGCACTGTTGGAGGGCCGGGCCCACCAGCACCTCGTGGACTTTGATGCTCACCTTGACGACATCCGGCAGGACTGGACCAACCAGCAGCTGAACACCCAAATCGTCCAGTGGATTGGTCCCACTCATGGCAATGCATGAGCCAGGGCCAGTAGGCTCAGGGTCCAATAAAGAGACTCGGGCTGAAGGGCAATGGTGTGACTGTATTTATTGCACCTGGGCTGCACGGTGAGAGGAAACCCCTTAGGAGAAACTTCGGAGGCAAGTCCCCAATAAAGGCAGGAGAGTCTCTGCCATGCCCATCACAGAATGAGAGCGAGAGCAGAGGTCTCAATAGATCATTCCCTTCGTCTCTCCCCTCGGCTTCTTGAGCTTTTCGAAGTTCTTCAGGATGATATCATACAGCACAGCCTAGAGGGCGGGGGAGGAGTGGGAGTCATCTGCAGGTCCCAGAGGCTCTGTGCCCCATTTCCAGGCTTGTGAAGAAGCCACATGTTGTCACCCTTCACCCATAGCCTGCAGAGTCAGGGAGCATGGGTGACCTGGGAGAGTTCCCTCTACCCCCACCACCTGCCCTGCCCTGATCTCCTCACATAAGCATTCCGGATTTCCATGACCATCAGTCGGATATCCCGGTACTCTGCTTCGTCCAGCTCGTGCACCAGCTGCCGGTAGTCACCCTGAGGGAAGTTCGGGGACCAGCCTGTCTTCATCCCCGTGTGCCCATTCCCCCTCCCCCACCCCACCCTTTGCCCTGGGCCACCTACCACATGGGGCTGCTTAGCTGCTTTGGCCACTGCATCGCCCCGCTCAGAGAAATACCTGTGGGAAGTGAGAGAAGGGTGTAGGTCCTGTGAGAGGAGGTGACAGTAGTCGCAACCTCTGTCCCCAAATCAAAAGCCACGCCGGCAAGTGGCGGGGGTGGGTGGCCACTCACTTGGAGATCTGGGTGTGGAAGCCTTCCAGCTTGGTGTGAAGGCTGGTCATCAGCTCAAACACCTTTTCCTGTTGGCAGAGAGTGAGAGGGTGACATAGCACGCGTGCGCAGACTGGAGGGGGAGCCAGGGCCATGAGGCAGCCTCTCACCTGAACAGCGACTCCAAAGTTGTTGCCATCCTCAATCCGAGGGATCTGGAGTTGCAACCAGGTGGTGACCTGAGACCAGGGAATGACATCTAAGTTACAGACTAATTCCAACAAGAGTGGGCGGTGTGGCAGGTCCAGCCTGAGGCCCAGGTCCTAGACTTCTGCCTTCACTGGACGTGCCTTTATCCTGCTAAGACTTGGTAGGTGTCATGTACTAACTGACAGGGACCAAGGAGGGCAAAGGGTTCAGCCTGAAGCCTGGGTGTGCCAGTGGGAGGGCTCACCAGGTTGAGCTGTTCAATGACATCTTTGATCTCTGGCTTCAGGAGCTCCAAGAGCCCCACGATCTTCTCATTGCAGTTCACTGGGCCACAGGGAGGACCTGGAAAGTGGACCAGGCGTCAGTCTGTGCTCTACGGGACTAGGGCTCCACTCCCTTCCCACCACAGTGCTTTCTACCACCTTTATCTTCATCTTCCCCTTTCTTCTTTTCGTCCTTATCTTCCTTCTGTAGGGAGAAAGGGCTCATGGGAATCAGGCCCGAGTTTAATTTTCCCTACGAGGGGTCCCTCTCCCGAGCCCGTCTCCAGCTCCAGCTTGCCTCCTGCTGTTTCCTCCGCTCCTCCTTCTCCTTCTCCTTGACTGGATCAGGCACTGGGATGTCCAATGGAGCCTTGAGTTGGCTCAGGTTGGCTTCATTGAGAGCTGGCTCCTGGTACAGAGTGGGAGGAAGGCTCGAGGCAAGAGTGTCCCCTGCCACCTCATTCTCATGTCCGCCATCCCCATCTCCCCTTGCCCTCGACCCTCTAGCCCAGGCGTCCTCAAACTACGGCCCGCCAAGGACACTTATCCGGACCCCTGGGTGTTTTTGCCCCGTTTGTTTTTTTACTTCAAAATAAGATATGTGCAGTGTGCATAGGAATTTGTTCATTGTTTTTTTTTAAACGATAGTCTGGCCCTCCAACGGTCTGAGGGACAGTGAACTGGCCCTGTTTAAAAAGTTTGAGGACCCCTGCTCTAGCCCGTTACCTGGCCCCCGTACCTTTAAAAACGCATCCAAGTCAGAAATCTTCTTGGGGAAATAGCTCCCAAGCAGGTTTTCTGTCTGCATGTGAGGTAGGGGTGGGGGAAGGTTAAATGTCAGAGCCAAATGCCTTTCCTAGCCAAGGCAGCAGGGCCTAGCCTGCCCATCAAGGGAGGACTGAGTGGTGGCAGCTGGGGACTGGTGGGAGTGCTGATGGGCTAGGTCTTACCTTGGTACACAAGTCTTCCCGGAACATATCCACCTGTGGGGGCACAGACCACCTTTGAGAAGCCTGCCTTCATGGCTAATTCATTTGAGGGCAGTTTCTTTAGGATTTGGGGGAAGCGTGGAGTGGATAGGGTGGCAGAGAGTGGATTTCTGTGGACCCGGGGAGAGCGTGGATCTCCGTGGGGGTGGATTAGGGAAGTGAGAACCGTCTGGCTACGAAGGGTGGGTGGTCCAGGACAGCAGCCTGGGTAGCCCTGAAGAAGGCTTGGGTGAAAGCTAAGGCAGGAACTGAGTGCCCGGTGGGGTGGGCCCTGGGGCCCTGACGAGAAAGCCACGAGGTGGCAGGAGCTGGTCCTGTACCGCCTGTGGGTGGCCTGGGCCAAGGGCCAGCAGACTTCCCCTCCACGCCAGCTCTCTGCTTCACCTCCCACCACTGAACCACAGCCGCCTCGCCACTCCCGGCAGGCATGCCTGGCCGGTCTCCAGGTGGGCTCAGGTGCTCCGGGAGCTTAGCCTCCGTCGACTGACCCCCCACCCCACCCCACGCGCGTCAGCGGGGCTGGGGCTAGACCGAGCTGCCTGCACCCTCTTGGGGCCACGCCTCCCTAAAGGGCCCTTGCTAGAACCTGCTGCGCTCACCTTGGCTTGGGCATCAGGCTGGACCCTGAGCGTGATCATGGCTGGGGAGGGGGCCCTTCTGCGGCGCGAGGAGCAAAGAGAGGGCACCGGGAAGGGAAAGTGAAAGCCGCCCGCACCGCCTTCCTGGGGAGTGGGGGGTGGAGGTACTGGAGGGGGCGGGCCGATCAGAGAAGCGAGAGGAGGGAGGAGCAAAGGAAGCCAACCCAATCGCGGCTCCGCCTACAGCCGGAGAGAAGC